GCACACTGCTCTGTCATCACTGTGCTCTTGGTACCCCCCTGCCTGCCTTGTTTTATTGATTATACAGTACACATCAGTTTTCTAATGAATTTGTCTTTACGTGTTATCGTTTAGCTTAACATTTAGCAGATATTAAGTACAAGAATTTGCCAATATTTCAGAGATCCAAAATAATTGAGCTGAGTTTAGTTAGCAAGTTCCCATCTTCTAACACCTCCTCACACTATTGATTGCCTGCAGCYTGCCAGAACCACAAATGCCTGCTCTGATCTGAGGGATGCTCACCCCTGTGCTGCTGTACAAATCACACTGATGACACCAAAACGAGCCCTTCAAAAGCAAAAGTGCTCCCTTCAGTGTAAAACCCTCCCTCTCAGGGCTCAGCAGTCACATCATTCTGGTAACGGGGTGCTCTGAAATAAATTTGGGCTGTTTTTTTCCCACCTCCATTGCCGTGGAGATCCTTCACTGTATTTCTTTGAAATMCTGGAATTCTCAGTGATTTGGAAGTTATTTGAAGATGGAAGTTCCTGCCCAGGGCTGGAATCCCAGCCTCCCTGCCTGTTGCAGGGCTGGCAGGCACACACAGCAGTGACCTGGGCACCCTGGACACAAACTGGACCTGAGCCGGAGCGAGGTGAGCGAGCAGAGGGGCATCTCCTGGAAATGCACAGCTCCCAGCCCCAAATCACACCTCCCCACGCTGCTGGGGAGAAACAGGAGCCAGCAGCAGCGCTTCAGCTCCATCCCCGCTGCCGAGGAGGCAGAGAAAGCTGCAGCTTGCCCAAACACGAGCTCCAGCAGCTGCCGGGTACCTCCGCTCCAGAGCAGCAAACAAAAATAAGCGAGCGCGGCGCGGGCAGGGAAACGGGATTTGCGTCATTTGAACAGTCTGTCTGAGCAAAGGACATCTCTGGAGGGAGCAACGAGCCCGGCTGGTCTCTACACGAATGCAATCGCGGCTGGCTGTGTGCAGGGCAGCTCCCGGCGCCGGCAGCGACAGGCCAAGTCACAAGCTCGGCTTATGTAGGGCACAGCGCAGCCTTCACATGTGACTGTCACCAGAGCAACAACTTGAGCGGCTCCGCGGCGCCCGGCGCACCTCCACCGGCCCGAGCATCTCCCCACCACAGCCGGGGGTCCCACAGCTCCAAATCGGGGCTGCATCGCCCCACAGAACAAACCCAGCCCGAGATTCGTGTGAAAATAAATCAGTCAGGCCAGGTGCAGCATCCAGAGCGAGCCGCAGGCAGCAGCTCCTTTGGATTGTTGTGCCTTGGCAGACAACTCTTCTCTCCCTCCTCCTCAGCCTCTTATCAGGCACTTTCTCCACGGAAAAGCAGCACCGTTTTTAACTTGATTAGGATAAGCACAAACAACACTCCCTAAGCTGTGAGGGGCCAGTGTTGAATCCTCAAACTGTCCTTGTTTAGATCTGAGAAAATGCTGTACACTTGGTTTCACAGAGAAAAAGAAGTGCATTATTGAATCACTCCGAGGAGCTGAGCTCTAGCAGCTCTTGCTGCTTGTCAAACGTTAAATGAAGTGGATCCACTGAAAATTAATCTCATGCAACTCCGAATTAAACACCTTAATGAGCTAAACACCTATTGTCATCTTCCATATGCTGATTCATCACATCTAGCAAAGCCTTGTAATCAACTACTCTCAATTCCACCAGTGCATTTTAATGCTGATTTGCTCTCAGAAGATTATTGCAAAATCAGTGAGACAGCCCCCAAACCTTTCTTGGTCTGTTCTTGCAGGGTAAGGTGCACACCTGCACCTGCTCACCCAGCTCTCTGCTCCTCCTTCCCTCCCTCATTAACTGGCACAAAAGAAACTTCCTTCCYACTCTGGGGTTTTCCAAAAGTACATATACCAGATTTTTATATATTTACGTACATATGTTACTGGACTGGGTTTTTTTCTTTCCAGAAGTCTRCCTCAGAGCTCATTAACAGTTCCCCACCTCACAAACTAAAGAACCTCTACAACTACACCAGCTTTTCTGAATTATTTGAGCAGTCTTCTCCTGTAAATTCTTTCCATTGTAAGAATTAAAAACTTTCAGGACTTGTGGGGTTTTTGTTGTTKGTTTCTGGGGTGGGGTTTACTACTGTTTATYAAATATAAGAACTAACCACAACCGTACTATCCTGTATAATATTTCCCTATGTCCTTTCACACAAGTGAACCCCATCTGACCATGTGGAACCCCTGTCAGTGAGCCACAGCTGTTGCAGAACAGGAGTCTGAGMAGTTTAGAAACAGTGTTCTAGTCAGGGCACAAGACAATTTCTAAAAGCACTGATTTCCTGATGTATTTATCTTAGAGAAGCTCCCGTCCCTTTAAAAAGGGTTCCAGTCCTTTGAAGAACTGAACAGYCAGAGAGAGCAGTGGTCAGTGATGGTGGCAGGGCATGAAGGTGGCTCTGGAGAGAGGAGGATGGGGAGCTCTGTGCCTGGGCCAGGAGGGAACAGGGTGGACACAGCACCTCTCCCCCAACAGCTGAGACCCCCATTTCAGCATCACTGGCACCTGACACCGARCTTCAGCAAATGAGGGGTCCTCATTCCCCATCCAAACGTTCTCCCAAGGAGAATGGGACATTTAGGTCTGAGGAAACCAAGGTTTCCCTTCTGGAAGGGAAGCTATGGTCCCCTGAAACCTCCAGGCTGGATTGTCAGAAGSTGAGGGAACTGTGGGCCTGGGAAAAGTCTTTCAAACAAGGATAATTTATTCTGTTTTCCCAGTTGGAGATTCCTCCATCTTCTGCACCCAAGCAGAGAATAAACTGATGCCAGGGTGGCCTGTCCCTGCTCCTGGACAGCCTGGGACCGCAGCAGCCCCTGTCACAGCCCCTGTGCCAGGCCCACAGGTGTGACCCCACCCACCTAACCTGGACAAAAGAAGGGGCTCCCTCCCCACAGAGGGAGTGGGATGACACAGGACGATTTCAGAGGAGGAGAGGGGACAACATTGCTCAGCTGAAGGTGGCCCGGAGGCTGCGCCTCCCCTGGCACGCACGTGGGCCGAGGGCCCTGCCAGATGCACAGGGCTGKCTCTCAGCTTCCACACTAAGCCCCCAGGCTATGCCTCAAAGCAATACAACTCTGCCATAAATATCCCAGATTAATTCTGATCCCAGCATCAAATCCACTTAAGAGACTTAAAAGCCTCCGAGTCCCCAGAGCTGCCTGCCYAAGGAGGGCTCTGCAAATGAGTCTTGGGCTGCAGAAGAGAAATATTATCAAACAAGGCAAGCCATTTGTACAATTTTTGGTAATGTCGTTTGCAAGAGACAAATGGGACGAGATGGCTGAGTTGACATCTTGTACTASAAGCGCAGCCACAAAAATCCTCGGGTGCTGGACACGGATGCACGGGGTAGGATTCCTGTAAACATTCCATGTTTTCTGGGAACAGCTCTTTCTCCTCAAGGGATTGATTGACTGGTAAATGACAGCATGCTCCAGTTTATTAAAGGAGCTGTTTGCTTTCATAGAGACATCTCTGTTTATCAAAAAGCCTGAAGTGATTACCCCAGCATCACTGGGAAAAAGCCTTGTTAACACTGACGGCAGGGAGGGCTGGGGAGGCAGAGCCCTTCCCTTCCCACTCTGCTCCTCTGGCCAGAGCAAGGCTTGGAAACAGGAGAGGACAAAAGGGGCACGGAGTGACCGGCGACCCTTAGGAGGCCCCAGTGCTGAGCAAATGCTGCCTCGGAGCGCCGGCACCCCCGACCCCGAGCGCAGCAGCAGCAGCAGCAGCGCTYCCCACCCGGCCAGAGATCCTGGGATCCGGGGCAGCTCCCGGGATATCCCTCCCTGCCCGACACCGCTCTCCGCACGGAGATGCGGCCGAGCRCAGCCAGGGCTGCCCGAGCCGATGCCCCGGAGCCCGGCAGGTCCCGGCGGTGCCTCCAGCAGCATCCCGGCTATCCCCGGCCGGAGCACCTCCCTCCCGCCTGCCCGGAGCAGSCGATCCCGTGTCCCGCATCCCGGGGGCTGCCGGCGGCCGGGAGCCGCCGCGTCTGTATTTATAAACCCAAGGAATTCGAGCGCAGCGGATCACAAACAGCCTATTGTGCTGTGTCAAACAGCCAAGTGGGCTCGTAATCCCATGCATGCTTTTCCCACTCCGCTCCGGGAAACCCGAGCCTTAAATACTTTTCCAGAAGTAAAAACACGCCGGGAAAGCGCCGAGCTCAGTTCTTGCTATTCCCGAGTCCCTGCCGCTTCGGAACCGCGCAACTAAGCGGCTTTCCCAGCGCTGGAGAGACGCAGACGATTAATTACAGCTTAGAGAGGCTGGAATAGAAGCGGCGGCCGGCAGCGAAGGCGGCCCGAACGGGCGAGCTGGCGCTGGCCCGGGCCAGCCCGCCGGTGGCGAGCGGCCAATGTTTACTGACCCCTGGCCGGGTCACTTTCGATAGCGGCCGGAGCCAAGGGCCGCTCCTCGGCAGCGCCGCGGGGCATCTCCCGGGGGGCAAGCGCTCGGAACCCCGGGTCCCCAGGGCGCTCGGGCCGGCAGCGAACACGCCACGGGGAGAAGGGCAGGGCTCGCCGCGTTGCTCCCAGAGCCACGGTACCGCGGCTCTGCCCAGGGCATCCCCCGAGCGCCGCGGGCGGCGGGGCCCGGGGACAGCGGTGGCCGTAGGGACAGCCGTGGGCACGGCGGGCGGGGCAGCCGGGGAGCCCCGGCCGTGCCAGCGCGGCTCGAAACCCCGCGGGAGCCGGGCACGGGAACCAGCGAGCCACGAGCACCCGGACGAGCCGGGGACCGAGGCTGGGGCCACCCCTCCGCACCCCATCGCTGTCCCCCGAGCCGCCCGGGGCTCGTCTCGGGGCACACCCCGCAGGGAGTCCCGCTGCTCCCAGCGCCGCTACGCCGTGCGGCTTCGGGCACCCGAAGGCGGGAGGGGTAAGGGAAGGGAARCCCCGCTAGGGAAACCCCCTCCGCGAAAAAGGGGCAAAGAAAGGCGGGCAGCGCTTACTTCTCGTGCCTGGCGTTCTCCTGGATGGCGCTCAGCACCCCCGGGGGCGCGAGGGGGACGCCCTGCTGGAGCCGGCATGTGGCCAGGTGCCGGTGATGCTCGTCCTGCAGGCAGGCATTTTCGTGGTACAACTTGGCCACTTGCTGCTCCAGCTCGTCTATCCTCCGCTTCTGCTTCTCCAGCAGCTCCTGCTGCGTCTCGATAATCTTGTTCAGCTCCTTCAGGTACTCGGCCGCCTTGCTGGGGTTCTCGCCGGGGCTCTCCATGGCCGCCCCGCACCTCCGCGGCGCGGGGGGGGCAGGCGCCGGCCAGCGCGCTCCGCTGGCAACTTAAGCGAGAGGGAAGGAATAAATACCCCGGCGGCAAGCGGCGCCCCGCGGCCCCGCGCGTCCCCTCCTAGAGCCGCGGCTGGCCGGGCGGGCGGCGGCCCCGCGCCGCCATTGCTGCCGCTCGGCCCCCGCCGCC